CTAAAGGCGCCGCAAAAAGGTTCTAGCTAGGGGAAACGTATACTCGCTAGCCGAGATGCAGCAAATGCCCTTCGAAGCGGAAAAGCCAGAAGCGCGCGAATGCGATTCGTCTGGATGACTCAAACACACGTAGTCATCGTACGAACGGGCAAGCCTCCTAAGTTGTCTATGTACAGAATGATGTTATTTTTTACTAATATTTTACACAGACAAACAGGACAATCTCTAGGTCCCTGCAAGTAAATGCACCATGAATCTTGTCGCAGCGCTTGATTTCTGGACAAAAGCGGCAGACACTCATACGCCGACGGACCTTGTTTATGTAGATATTTCAAAAGCATTTGACCGGGTTAATCACGCAGTCCTCTTAAATAAAATACCGAGTTTGGTGACTGACCAGCAAACAATCTCCTGGCTAAGTACCTATCTGTCCGGGCGGATCTACCAAATTCGTGTAAATGACGCACTCTTCAGCGTTCTGGCTGCGACAACCAGAGTGCCCCAGGGATCTATTCTTGGGCCCCTGATGTTCACCTTGTTCAGTAATGACATACCATCTTTTCTTAACAGCTCTATACTGCTCTATGCAGACATTGCTAAGATATGGCGATCCAGGCGATCAGGCGCGTCTTCAGAGAGACATCGATGCTGCCTACTCCTGGGCCCCGAAAAACTTGCTCCCGTTCAACACCGTCAAGTGCAAGGTCATGCACATCGGACAAGGTGCGAGCACTCCACACACTATCGGCGGCGTGCGTCTTAACACCAAATCCCAGGAACACGACTTAGGTTTTATTATATCCGCCGACCTGAGCCCAAGCGCTAACGTAGACGCATTGGCGAGAAACGCCAGCGTGCGCCTGGCCCACCTCGGACGTACATTAGGGTCATTCCCTGGAAAAACATTTGTCCGCCTCTACAGCACTTTGGTACTCCCGCTGTTGGAGTACAATATCAAGAACAAAAGACCGAAGGGAAACAATTGTTTTTGATGATTCATCTTCAAACCCGTACAATCATATGAGTGGAATAGCAATGGGCATAAAAGTGGATTAACGATAATTTCAAATGAGATTGATCACGTGCCGACCAAAGGCATGAACCAGTAACAAACGGCAAACTAGGGCAGAGGTGCAGTTGCACAGTTACAGTTGCTCTCAGAAGAATCCGTTTTGGCTGGCCAAGGTAGCTTAACAGCTTCGATCAGCTTCTTTTGTGCACATAAAAGCGGCTACTGCCGAGGCGATCAGCATTCGGTTGTATCAACAGCTTTTGTGCGACTTTGGACTTTGGACACACTAGCTCGCGGCACTCCTCCTTTTTTAGCTTTTATCTAATTTTACCGAACTGTCTTCCTGTCTGAAACCTCCGTCCCCGTACTGCCACATTTATGTCCTTACTTGCAAAGCAATAGCACCGCCAACATCGGTCGTTTACCTGCATACTAGTCTCTTCCAGAAAGCCACATCCCCACAATCAAGACACTGAATACCTGTGCCCCACACTACTACCGAGTCGCATTCTACAACACTTGGAACATACCAACAACAACAGGATCCTGCCGTAATACTTCGAGGCAGAACCGCCGAGAAACCCATAAAACCCATGAAATGTGTTTTTTGTTCTATCTTCGAAATGTGTATCGATTTTGCAAAACGTTCGTGGATGAAACGCAAGATTACTATCAAAGATGAATAGCATGCGTTCTACTGGTTATTATAAGCCTTAACAAAATCCGTACAACAAGCTGGACGTTTGACCATTCTTCCGAATTGGTCGGTTGCCTTTGGTTTGGGCCTGGTAGGCGGAGGGTCGAGGGAAACGGAGGGTTTCGGGGTATCCAGTGCTCGGGAACTCACCACAGATGCGGGTGCTTGTGCGATAGCATTATGACGGGCTGCAGTGGGTTCGTCCAATGTACAGAGGCTAGAGTAGGCGTCGCACTTCGTCGGTGTAGAGTGCCGGTATATAGTCCACTGTGCATCTGCACGTCTGGTTTTCTCACTGGAAGGAATGAACGCATGCTTTGTGCTATGGAGGACGCAAAGTTAGGCGGTGGCATACCCTACGATGCAGGGGGCGAAACGAATTATCTTGGCAATTGGAGTTATGCCATGAATAAGCTGTACTAGGGCATTGCTACGAAAGCCTATGAGGACGAAGGAAACCTTTCCGCTCTAGCTAGGGACAGAATTCAGTGTATCCTGTTAAAATGTTTTCTTGCTATGCCGAACATCTCTGCTGAAGTTTGACCAAACGAAACGCTTGTTGACCAGCCTCAAAGGTGCACGGATACCGGGATGTGATAGTATGAGGAGCACATCGGACAGTGCGTCTGAAAGAGACGGACGCAAGGCGTTTAGGAAAACTTGTGGAAAGGTCACAGAGGATATTACTTTCCGTTGTTTGTAGAGGTACGGGTTGCACATACTACTACTACTACTACTACTACTACTACTACTACTACTACTACTACTACTACTACTACTACTACTACTACTACTACTACTACTACTACTACTACTACTACTACTACTACTACTACTACTACTACTACTACTACTACTACTACTACTACTACTACTACTACTACTACTACTACTACTACTACTACTACTACTACTACTACTACTACTACTACTACTACTACTACTACTACTACTACTACTACTACTACTACTACTACTACTACTACTACTACTACTACTACTACTACTACTACTACTACTACTACTACTACTACTACTACTACTACTACTACTACTACTACTACTACTACTACTACTACTACTACTACTACTACTACTACTACTACTACTACTACTACTACTACTACTACTACTACTACTACTACTACTACTACTACTACTACTACTACTACTACTACTTACTACTACTACTACTACTACTACTACTACTACTACTACTACTACTACTACTACTACTACTACTACTACTACTACTACTACTACTACTACTACTACTACTACTACTACTACTACTACTACTACTACTACTACTACTACTACTACTACTACTACTACTACTACTACTACTACTACTACTACTACTACTACTACTACTACTACTACTACTACTACTACTACTACTACTACTACTACTACTACTACTACTACTACTACTACTACTACTACTACTACTACTACTACTACTACTACTACTACTACTACTACTACTACTACTACTACTACTACTACTACTACTACTACTACTACTACTACTACTACTACTACTACTACTACTACTACTACTACTACTACTACTACTACTACTACTACTACTACTACTACTACTACTACTACTACTACTACTACTACTACTACTACTACTACTACTACTACTACTACTACTACTACTACTACTACTACTACTACTACTACTACTACTACTACTACTACTACTACTACTACTACTACTACTACTACTACTACTACTACTACTACTACTACTACTACTACTACTACTACTACTACTACTACTACTACTACTACTACTACTACTACTACTACTACTACTACTACTACTACTACTACTACTACTACTACTACTACTACTACTACTACTACTACTACTACTACTACTACTACTACTACTACTACTACTACTACTACTACTACTACTACTACTACTACTACTACTACTACTACTACTACTACTACTACTACTACTACTACTACTACTACTACTACTACTACTACTACTACTACTACTACTACTACTACTACTACTACTACTACTACTACTACTACTACTACTACTACTACTACTACTACTACTACTACTACTACTACTACTACTACTACTACTACTACTACTACTACTACTACTACTACTACTACTACTACTACTACTACTACTACTACTACTACTACTACTACTACTACTACTACTACTACTACTACTACTACTACTACTACTACTACTACTACTACTACTACTACTACTACTACTACTACTACTACTACTACTACTACTACTACTACTACTACTACTACTACTACTACTACTACTACTACTACTACTACTACTACTACTACTACTACTACTACTACTACTACTACTACTACTACTACTACTACTACTACTACTACTACTACTACTACTACTACTACTACTACTACTACTACTACTACTACTACTACTACTACTACTACTACTACTACTACTACTACTACTACTACTACTACTACTACTACTACTACTACTACTACTACTACTACTACTACTACTACTACTACTACTACTACTACTACTACTACTACTACTACTACTACTACTACTACTACTACTACTACTACTACTACTACTACTACTACTACTACTACTACTACTACTACTACTACTACTACTACTACTACTACTACTACTACTACTACTACTACTACTACTACTACTACTACTACTACTACTACTACTACTACTACTACTACTACTACTACTACTACTACTACTACTACTACTACTACTACTACTACTACTACTACTACTACTACTACTACTACTACTACTACTACTACTACTACTACTACTACTACTACTACTACTACTAGTTTTTTTATTTTTATTTTCATTCCATTTTCCTACATCTGTGGTGTTTAGTTTATTGACTACTTGAGTCGTGGTAAATTAATCCGCTACACATCCACACTCGGACCGTATTTATTTTACTTGGCCACAAGCCTCATATAAATTGCTTCTCGCTTAAAATCCCACTATTTCTTCGTTCCGCATATTCGATGAACCGTACTAGGTGTGAATGCGGTTCGCTTCACTCCCTCGATTTACCAGCATCTTGTTTCATTACTTCCGAGACATCTGACTACGTCGGTGGTTTGACGTCGTGTAACATTGGTGCGCCAAACTTTCTCTGCCCTGCTTTGCGACAAAATATCGCTCTTTGCATGTTCTGTAACACTTGTGGAACTTGCTGCTTTAATTTGTATGTTACACAACTATGTGTTTTCGACTTTTTCAATTAGGTGGATCAACTCCGAAAGATCGTGCTGTCCTCGCTATGATAAACGGTGCAGTCAGCGATGTACGAATGGCTTACGTTCGTCTCTGCTATAGCTCAGATTTTGTAAGTTTTTCCTATATTCCATGCAAGTTATGATGTTGCTGTTTGAACATCTTTCTGTATGATATCCACCACTTTCTATCCCTTGCTTTCGTTACACTCTTGTTAATCGCCCTTCATGTGTAAACAGATGAATTATTTTTTGCCATTGCGAGACACGAAGCAAATGATTGATTCGATGACAATTTATCAAAGGATTGCAGAAAACAATGTTCAAGTTGTCCCCAATGCAGACAGTTCCGTGACGGTTCTTCAGATTGGGCAGTCGCGTGTTGTATAAATTTATTTTGATGGGACTTGGGAATCACTCAGTAATTTTTACACTGCTGCTTTCTGCATGAAATGGAGTTCGTTAAGTCCGTAAGATGTTTTTTGATAGAAAATAATCCAACAAATACATAAACGATGTGTTAGGCAAATGCGGAATACCGATGTACAAATGGACCTTGAAAAGCTCACAGACCAAGGAAAGTTATCGGAGATATTATCTCACAATCAGATAGTGAAATATCTCTCCGATTGGCAAAGCACACCATTCACAGTAACATTAGACTAAGGAGAGCACTAGTCGCACAGTCGAATGCAACTGCGAAGGGAATCATTATCGTTTCGCGTCGATGTGGCCGTGTTTACCACTACCACACGGCCGCCGCCTTTCGAGAAATTAGACATAGGGGACAAAAATGCTGGCCAAGGAGGGATTCAGAGTAAGAGAATCTCGGTTGACTTTCAAAACTACAATACTGTCTGTGTTTTCACTTTTATCAAATTTTGAATCATGTCAAGTAATGTTTGTTTCTCTTATTTATATCTCGGATAAGGCCTAGGTTTCGTATTGCTGCATGTCAGGCTAGAATGCAATCTTGAGGATGGGAAACCAGATAGGTAAAGTGTAGATCTCAAGTAAGATAATTTGATGACGAGTGATATCACATTTCAGATATCTGCTAAACCATTTTCATATGTCAATTGTTTCGTGACATTTCGACTCGAAACTTGTTTGACCTTAACAATGACTACCATGCTACGGGTCTCATTACCGAGGATTTCGGGTGATTTGTATATATTTGCGTAAGCGTACAAGCAGTTTCCTATGCGCCTGAGTTGTACCTCTTTCCACGTTTAGTAGGTTATGACTGTTTCGAGTAATATGCATTTGCTCAACTCTGAATTTCCCGCCTAAGCTACTGGAATGAACTCCTTTGTGTATGTTGTCGAACTAGAAACCGATGCTCAGTATCATACGCCTGAGCCGTATGGGGTCAGATTGAAAGCCCTTGGAACGATGTACGTAAGAGTTGATAAGCTGATCTCATTAGGCTCTCAGTGAACCATCTCTACAATTTCTCGTTACCATCGATCACTTTTTCTTGAGTTGCTGTATATCAGTGCACAATGGTCCAAAAACGGTCGGGTTTTTCTTTTGTACAGGATGCTTATCGAATCTTGCATTGTGACGGTTTTGAAAGTAATCCGATGCATCAACGGGCTTTGACAATTGCATTTAACTTGTGCTCTATGAAAATGAACAAGCCAGTATAGTGAAGATTCCAGTCTTTTGTCGTACTATTGCAGTCTATTTTCTCTCAAAGGGAACCAGGATGCGAGGTGCGATTATACAGCGGGGCACTGCACTTTTCAGCTGAGAACCACACATTTTAACTTATGCAACATAACTTCAGGGATTTCAACAGATACGGTGACGTTCGTGACGTGCCTCCTGTCAGTTACAACAAAAGTGTGGATGATTTTCAAGTCATCACAGACTACGTATAGGACTACATAGCATATTGCGTCAAGTATATCGTAAAAATACGGCATAAAGATCAGTGGGTCGATAACGCTGCTTTAACTACGCCAATTAATACTGACCTAGATTGCGAATTGTGATCTGTATAATAATCACCTGTGTTCGGTTTGAAAGGCACGACCTGAACCACGCTAATAGGGAACCGCTAATTCTAAATGATTCAATTTTACCAATTAGCTTGTCGTGTTGTACACGATCGAACACTTTCCGCCTGTATAGGAAGATCACTGATGATTTCCCGCACTCTAAGGAGAATGAAAGATGATTGGGGACATGTCACATATGAACGCTCCTTCAAAAATCCACGTGGTTTATTAATCAATTTACGTGTCTGCAAGAATTCTATCATTTTCGGGCAGTTAATATGTGCATACTTCTGCAAATTATGGAAGTAAGACTAATTGGCTGGTCGTTAGATTGTACCTAAGTCCCGCTTTGTGACGTGAGAAAATAGCGGCTGTTAACCGCTATGTAGGTATGTGATTGTTGGATTTTGGAGCACTTGCGGTGTGTTTTGGATTGCGACATGCAATCTCAAAGGTGGCTTCGGTTGACTTTGAAGTCATCCTCTGCCATTTCGATCAGTGAGACCGTATCCGAAGTGGAGGGTTTCAATGGCATTCTTCCCCGAAATCTGCGCTCGACGGTTTCCTCGTTATTTAGGTCTATCAAACAAGGACGAAACGAGCAGTGGAGTGCAGAGATGAGAGAGACTAACACCTAAATCCTCTGCTGTGTAAGTGCTTCACACGTTTTCACTGAAAGAGAATGCAGTACGAATAAGGTGAGGCATATCTGGGCTCGTAGTTTTAGTGCACTTGATATGCCATCGTAGATAAACTGTTACACAACCCCCAATTGTTTTTTACATCTCGGAGTAAAAAGTTGATAGTAAAGGGTTTGCCGAAGGTTAAGGTGGAAAAGTTAAGCGAACGGGGATCAGTGGCTTCGCTAGAGGATAAAAAAGTGCTGGTCCACGGAATCGGTAATGCGTCAGGAACGACAATGCCATTGGAAAGCACGCTGAACGTTATTTCCTTCGTCGTAGGGTTCCGACGTTTTATGCGACGATCCAGATTTTGCTCTTTATTGTTCCCAGAAAATACATGCCTATTCTCTGCCACTTGCCTTGAGTGGAGTATGGCATAGTACTTGGCTGAGAGTTGTTGCTGTTGTTAAACCATTGAGGATTTATTCGTCCGTCTGCACATTTTGCGAAAAATCTCCACATTTTTGGCGATTTTATTGGGGAAGTAGTCGGCATATTTTCGATTTATAGCGCACTTGTGCTTAATCAGTGAGACATGTAACACTCCGAATAATAACTACAATCTTTTATGTACACTTCCATTGCCGACCAATTGTACATTTTTATCTATTATTCTAATCTCACTTACATTATATATATATATATATATATATATATATATATATATATATATATATATATATATATATATAACCAGTCTATGAACAGACATAGAGCCATCAGAAACCATGGAACACAAAGTAGGTGCAGAACTTGTAAAAGAAAACACACCACAACACGTTAAAGTCCATGGTTTCGTCAGAGGGCTAGATACTACCCGATTGCCCAAGCCGAAGCAGGGAGTTGACTTAGGGGACACCAACCCGAGACTTTCGCTGAATAGCCTGCACGCAAGGCAGCGGAGCGAACTCAGGGAATCGCGCCCATTGGGAGCCGGTGACTGATTGCTCAGTTCATACGCCTTTCGTTTGTTCCTTTGTCAAACAGGGGCCAATGCTCCCTAGAATTCGAGCATAAATTTGCTGGAATACAATGCTTCGCCAGGATGAAGCAAGGGGCAGTGACTTTATTTAGTGGCGAGTCACGTCCGCCACGTCACAGTGTTGTTAAACGGACATATGTGGCTTTGTATAGGGAGAACGCTTGTCAGGCGAAAACCCACCACATCCTGGAACACTGCCACCGAACCATTTGTTGGAACGGGATAATCCCGAACCACCCAGCTGGCACCACGAGTAGGTTGTTCGGCAAGCCAGCCAGGTTATTCGGCAAGCCAGCCATGTTTGCCTACATCCGGCTGAACACTCGTCTGTTTTGTAAGTTATGGCGCTAAACTTTGCTACTGTCTTGCTTCATCCGTCCGCGTCATTTGTAGCCCATCACATATAGTCTGCTGCGTTTGAATTCAGTTGCCTTCTGATATCCGCGCTCGATTACGCACACCGTCTCGAATTAGTATTTCTTAGTTCTACAGACCTCATGAAGACAGGTTCTGATGTTGCTATAAGGCTCATTTGCAGCGATTTCAGAATCACTATTTAGGAAGAAGTTGTCTCACGGGGACAATCCCATGAACGATGTAAACAGCCCCCAGTCGGTGTAAACGCACTCAGGATACCATAATACAGCTTTGGACATATTGACGCGAATTTGCGGCGGTGAACCAAACGAGAATACCCGGAAAATTGGCGAGTCTGTTGGTAAGATACCACACTAAGCATACTGGCCTTTTATTAAACAGGCGCGCCTAACGAATGTGGACCAACAGTCTGAAAGCTAGTTGCTCACTGCAGACGCGAACTGAAGGATAGTAGGCAGTCAGTTTAGATCGACATGAACGAAGCGTACGCTGGCTGAGAAAACAGTAGCAAGGTTATATGTTCTACGTTGATGCGAGATATAAAATAACCTTGTGTTCTGTGTATAACAGATATCTGATCCAAGCCCAGACATCACGTTTTTGCTTCTCTGAGGACCACTTTGACATTGAAGGATCCCACGCTGAAGACGCAGTATCAGCAGAGACCTCGTGAAAATCTCGCTGTCCTCCTACCCTAGATGTGTCGGTCAACACTGATCGAATTTGTGACAAGCCATGCTGCTCGCCAGCTTGTCCTCCTGTAGCCTCACCCGTTGCACAGTAAAAGGCTGGATGTCGATATGATCCTCTTAGCTGCTAGATCGTCGACCGGCTGCGCCCGCCGGTGCGTAAGCACAACGGACTCTGTCGGTTTGTCTCAGCAGCTAAAATCAAGCGTTCCCTGTGGTTGTGAGTCCTGGTTGTCAAAACGATCTGATGAGATGGAAATCGCTGCATCGGTTGGAAACTTCCGCGGTTTGTTTTATCTCATCAGGGCCACTGGTTGCAATTTACATAATATCAGCCAAACAGCTTGTGAGTCATGCGGCACGAAAGTTACCAAC